TAGACCCTACCTCTTAGGTAGGGTCCTCTTAGAGTTTCCACCACTTCCCAATTGCACCAAGCTGAGGAATAAGCCTTTAACACAGGGCTCGTTGGGGGAAATTCCAGATCCAAACCATAGCAGGGTGTCACTTGGAGTCAGGGAATAGGAGGGACACCAATGGCACTGGGTAGCAACTCTGTCTGTTTAGCCACCATGAGGCCGAGCTCTGGAGATCCCTGAGATTCCCAGGAGCCCCTGCCCTCCTGTGGGGCCTGGGGACCTGCAGGAGTAGAGCCCCAGCCTGTGTGCCTGATCCCCCAGGAAGGATGGGTTAGCTGGTTGCTCTCAGAGGCAGCAACTCCCCCCACCCCCACCTCTCAGGACTGAGCTGAGTGTAATTCCCCATGGAGGAGAGGCCATAGGCAGGGCCAAATTTGGAGCATCCTGGCTCTGCACTGACCTGGAAGAGCTGCACCACCTGGGGAAGGGCGGGAGTTTACAGGTGTAGGAGGAGCAGGTAGTAGATATAGGAGCTGCACTTGTATGTCACATGCTTCCTTTTTTTTTTTTTTTTTACAACTTCTCTGCTCATCTCTTGCCTCTTTCTTTTCTCTCACTTCTCTCTTCTTTTTATTGCCCTTCCTCCCTTTCAGAAATCAACCTACATTCAACAGGACATCAGGAGAGAGCAGGCCTGGCAGAAGAATGAGGGGGTTCCTGTGTCTCCCAGCAAGGGGCTCTGACTTTTGTCCTCTGACCATTGCATCTCATGTGCCTTGGGCCATCTATCTCTGGAGCAGGTGGTAAGGGGGTTGGGAGAGAAAAGACACAGACAGCCAATGAGGAGACGTGGCAAAGGCAACAAGAGCCCTAGCAGGAGCATAGGTTGAAGGGACTGGGTTAGTCCTTTCAGACTCAGACTTCCTAGCTCTTGATTTTCTTCTACAGATGGGTAAAGATATGAGAAAGTGAGACCCCCCCCCACTTCATGCCCACTGGGGGGAAGGAGTGCAGCAGTCCAGGGTGGGTGGGCTTAGTGACAAAAATGCTAGTTTGGGTTTTTAATATCTTTTCTATAAATGTCACCTGGCTAGCGGCTCATGCCTGTAATCTCAGCTACTTGGTGGAGATTTGCGGATCATTTCAGGCCAACCTGGGCAAAAAAGTTAGCAAGACTCAACAGGCAAGCTGGGTGTGGGAGACAAAATGGGTTTGCAGACGCTACCCCAGGACCACACTTACCCGCTGGTCACAGGCACAGGTGTAACTCCTAGACCTCCTCGTTGTGTGCCCTCTTCCAAGCTCACCTGTCAGGTGTGTCGCCTTTCCTGTTGGGGACTGTGTGTGTGTGGAGGGGACTGTGGCAGTGGCATTATTCCTAGAGGTCCTGAATTCAGGAAAACACAGAGAGTAGAGATTGTGGAGGAAGAGTGTGTGTGTATCAGAGAGAGAGCGAGAAAGGAGAGTGAGAGAGAAGACAGGAGAGAAAAGAAAAAGACAGGAGAGGAGGAATGGGGAAGAGAGGAGGAACGGGAGGAGGAGAAGAGGAGAGAATATCTCTGTAGGGCCTGCAAGGAAGCCATAGGTGACTCAGAACCCTGCCCTGCAAGAGCCGCGAGTCTGAGGCACTGAGCTTGTCCAGGTGTGTGGGGCAGTCGGATGGGCACTCTTAGAATGCACCTTGTGCTCTGTTAACTTCCCTGCAAAGAAGGAAGCTGCCAGAGGAGCTGCTGTTTTTTGACATTCAGGCCACAATTGAGGCCAATAAATGAGGCTGACCCGGGAGCAAACTATGGAGCAGCTGAGACAAGGCAGGGACCCAGTTCTCAACCAGGGACATAATGGACAGACTTGAGTTCTGGCATGCAGAAGGAGACTAGAAATAGAGGGCCAGAAGTTCATGGTCTCCAGAACTTAGCTGGTCCAGTGTCTGCTTAGACCCATGCTGACCCAGGGCAGCATTCTCAGGCCCATTTTAAATCCACCCAGGACCTGCTTAAATCAGACATGCTGCAGGTGGCCCTTTGTCTGCAGTATGACAGTCCTTCAGCTCATTCCCACACCTGGGCAAGTTTGAGAGCCCCTGATCCAGAAAATCCTTGACCTGTAAACTGAGACAGGAAGGGGAGAAAGGCAGCACCCAGGAGGCTGGGCCCTGAAGCCTCTCTGGGATTAAAAACAAATTTAACTGGGTGTGGTGGCACTTGGCTCTTGCGGGACCTACCAAGACAGGAGGACTGAGGGTGAGGAGTGTAGGAATGATGTGGTTGGGTGCTGGGTTAAGTGGCTCATGAGGGTTTTAGTCATGGTGTCTGCTCAGGATCTACCTCCAAGATCTTTCTTGTGACTTGGGTCTTTCAAAAAATTTCTTAGCCTTGGAAATCATGTCACTTCTTCCTCATTGTGTTTATTAAAAGTGAATTAAGTCCAGCCCACAAACAATGGGAGGAGAATTAGACTCTATTTCTTTTTACAATTACATATATATATACACACTTTGTGTGTGTGTGTCTGTTTGTGGTACTGGGATTTGAACTCAGGGCCTACATCTTGAGCTACTCCAGCAGATCTTTTTTTGTGTGTGAAGGGCTTTTTCGAGATAGGATCTCTCAGAACTATTTGCCCAGGCTGGCTTTGAACTATAAGTATCCTGATCTCTGCCTCCTGAGTAGCTAGGATTATAGGTGTGAGCCACCAGTGCCCAGCAGAATTTTTTATATTTTTACTGGGGTTTTAACTCAGGGCTTCACACTGCTATACCAGCACTCTACCTCTTGAGACATGGCTCTGGTTCATTTTGCTCTGGTTATTTTGGAGATGACTGGCATTGAACCTCAATCCTCCCGATGTCAGCCTCCCAAATAGCTAGGATTACAGGCATGAGCTACTGGTGCCCGTTTTTTCTTTTTCTTTAAGGGATAAACCTAGGGCCTGGTGTATGCTAGACAAGTGCTCTACCACTGATCCACACCCCACCAGCCTCCTCTTCAGAAAGGGGATAAGGAGATCCTTTGCCAAAGGCATGTTCTCTTAGGGGAGGTTGTCACTACCAGAAAGGATGTGGACATATTTTAAAATCATCTCACTAGCAAACCTTATCACTAAAGCAGTTTCTAAGAATCCCAATTCTGGAAAGCATGTCTTCTGGTAGGGTTTATGTGTTGGACTACTGTGAATTTGGCTAATATAAGTTAGTTTTCCAGATGTGATCAACTATGCTTGCACTGACTTACGAACTTGGCTTTCAAAGCTGAGGACCAAAACATATGACTAACTTCTTTTTTTTAAAATTTTTATTTTATTCATATGTGCATACAATGTTTGGGTCATTTCTCCCCCCTGCCCCCACCCCTCCTTTACCCCCCCCACCCCCTCCCTCTCCCCCCATACCCCCTCGCTACCCAGCAGAAACTATTTTGCCCTTATCTCTAGTTTTGTTGAAGAGAGAGTATAAGCCATAATAGGAAGGAACAAGGGTTTTTGCTGGTTGAGATAAGGATAGCTATACAGGGAGTTGACTCGCATTGATTTCCTGTGCGTGTGTGTTACCTTCTAAGTTAATTCTTCTGGAACTAACCTTTTCTCTAGTTCCTGGTCCCCTTCTCCTATTGGCCTCGGTTGCTTTAAAGTATCTGCTTTAGGTTTCTCTGCGTTGAGGACAACAAATGCTATCTAGTTTTTTAGGTGTCTTACCTATCCTCATACCTTCCTTGTGTGCTCTTCCTTTATCATGTGCTCAAAGTCCAATCCCCTTGTTGTGTTTGCCCTTGATCTAATGTCCGCATATGAGGGAGAACATACAATTTTTGGTCTTTTGGGCTAGGCTAACCTCACTCAGAATGATGTTCTTCAATTCCATCCATTTACCAGCGAATGATAACATTTTGTTCTTCTTCATGGCTGCATAAAATTCCATTTATACCACATTTTCTTAATCCATTTGTCAGTGGTGGGGCGTCTTGGCTGTTTCCATAACTTGGCTATTGTGAATAGTGCTGCAATAAACATGGATGTGCAGGTGCCTCTGGAGTAACCTGTGTCACATTCTTCTGGGTATATCCCCAAGAGTGGTATTGCTAGATCATAATGACTAACTTCTGAGTTAGCAGAATCCCTGGTTCCTTCCTCTTTTCTTCCCTTTGAGTGCTAAATATATTGTAGGCTCACTGATTCTCAGCATGACTGTATCAAGGGCAGGTCAAAGGTCTGAAAACGTATCCTACATATTTTAAATAGTGGGAAATGAGACTTCTTCCTGCAGGAGAAACCCCCTTAAGTCCAGGGACTGCCAGTCCCAGCTCTGCCTAGATCCTTCGCTGGGCTCAATGACCAAAGTTCATTTTTTCCCAATTTGGGCAGAGTGCTCAGCTGTGCTCTATATGTGCTTGCTCAGTTAGTTATCTGACCCTCTCTCGGGAGAGTTATTTTCTACCTTGTGTTCTATACCTGTCTCAACCTCCCTAGAAAGTGTGAGTTTGAGGGATTTATTCTCATAGTCTTCCCAGGCGTTAGCTCCTAGCCTGCAGGAAGTAGAAACTTCAGCGAATATTTACTGAAAGAATACAAGAATTGGCACCCGGCCAGCATTCCTTGATTGAGTGGGACTCAGAGAACTTGAGCATCAACAGAAAGGTCTGCCTCCCCAGGCTGGCCTCGAAGTCAAGGTTATGTTCAATCCGCAATCTTCCCGGTCCCTAAAGTCACCGTGTCACCAGGAGCCGGGACTTGGGTCTGACATCCATCCACCTGGCCCTGCCAACCGCGCCCTCATGCCTGCGCACCCCATGTCCTTTGGCTGCGAAGCGAAGGTATCCCGCGCGTCTTCGCTGCACCAGAGCTGAGGAACAAAGCAGTACGCACTCTCTCAGCTCGGCGCGCGGTGGACTCCCTTCCGGCTCGATCCGCCCTCTCCCGGACTTCAGACTACAACTCCCGAGAGGACGCGCGCACCGGAGGCCGCTGATTGGCTGCACGGCGGGGCGGGGCCTCGGACCCGGAGCAGTGTGCGCGTGCGCGCGGCAGGAGGGCGTGCGGCCGATGGCTGGGCTCTGCGGAGCTGTGGCGTTCAGCGCGGCGCGCTGGCTCTGCCGGCAGACGCCTGTGGGGCTCCGGGGCAGGTGGTCCGGGAGGGGCTACGCCGTGGGCCGCGCTGAGGTGAGAACGCGGTGCTCATGGCTGCCGGAGCCGGCCCCCTAGGAAATGGCCTTGAGATTTGCTGAGCCTGGGCGCACTTCGTCCTCCCTGCCTCAGTGCGGCTCGGTGCCTGCAGGCGGAGAAGGTCGCACGAACCCCATTCCCCCTCGGGACGGCTTTTCAGCCTCCGTCACATCTCTCGAGTCCCGTGTGGTTCCCCCTCCTCTTGCAGTTTCACCACCAGACATTTAGATTTTGATTTTCAAGGATGTTTGAAAGATCGCGGGATCGCGGCGCAGCTGCACCAGTGCAGGTGGACTGTGCGGAGATCGCGGGGCCTCGCTTGCCACGAGCAGCTGGTAGTGCGGGACCGTGCGGGAACAAGAGCACGGGCGCTTCCCCCCGTTCAGAGTCTCAGCGACCTCGCAGGCATGGGGACCCTGGTGGGGTTTGAACTCAGGGCCACTCAACCAGCCCTTTTTCGTGATGGTTTTTCTCCGAGATAGGGTCTGGCAAACTATTTGCCTGGGCTGGCTTCGAACCGCGATCCTCCTGATCTCTGCTCCTGAGTAGCTCCTTTCTTTACTTTCTTCCTTCCCTTTCTCGCTTTCTCCCTTCCTCCCTTTCTTTCCCTTTCTTTTCCTTCCCGCCATTCCTCCCTCCCTTTCTCTTTTTTCCCTTCCTCCCTTCTTCCCTCCTCCCTCCCTTCCTTCTTTGAACCCAAGGCCTTACAGTTACTAGCAAGTGCTCTACCACTTGAGTCACAGCCCCTGGCCCTATTGCCTTTTCTTTTTCGTGGTACTAATCATTTTGTCTTCTAAATCCAGTCTCTATGTGATAATGACAATATCGCTCATGGCAATCCTTTTATGTATTTTTGTGATTAAAAAACACATATTGCTTACTCTGTGACAGGTATTACTCTAAGTACCTAGCAATCATTAATTCGTATAATTTTCATAACAACTCTAAGGTAAGTACTATTATTATTATTCCCACTTTACAGATGGAGGAACTCAGGCAGAGAGGTTAAGCAACTTGCCCAAGGGCACACAGCTGTAAGTGGCAGAATCTGGAACTCAGGTTGTGTGGAGCCAGAGTGCAAGCTGTTAACAGTGTTTGTCAGTTATTTTTGCCTGTGGTGCAGCGAAGGCTCAAAGAAGTTATGTGTCTTGGCTATTGTTAGAGCTAGCAGTGGCTAAACTGAAAAATGGGACATGTAGATGAAGGACTTTGTAAACTAGTGACTGATGCTTAAAGAAGATGCCTCTGGCATCTTTGCAGGTCCCAAGTGACTTTTCTGGTAGAATAGAAAACAAAGAAAGAGTTGTGGCTTTAGAACCGAGTCCTGGCTGCACTGATTATTAGCTCTTTGGCTTAAAGCAATGACTTACTTGCCTTGTAGGCATCAGATTCCCCATCTGTGTAATGGGAATATTACCATGCAGTGTTTTTGTGAGAATAAATAGGGTGCTGAATGTTGGGTACTGTGCAGTGGCGGTTGTGTAATGAGTCCTCGAATGTGGTCACAGCTGTAGTTGTAGTGATTGTTATTGCCATTGAAAATGTGCCAAGCCACAGAGCAGCGTCTTAGTGGTCCCTTCATTTCAACTAATGTTAAATATCACACACTTTTTCACCACCACAAAAAAATTTTAATTTACAGGGTCTGGCCTAATACCTAGGAGTAGTTAAAAAGAAAAATCAAGTGATATATAAGAAAAGTCAGAATACAGGCACAGAAGAGGATAAAATAAAAAGGGAAAGTCCAGGCCTTTGCTGTAGGCACTTTCACTTAAAAAAATTAAAGACTGTGTTAGAGCAGTTCAGGTGTACAGAAAAACTGAGCAGAAAGCAGAGTTCCCATGCCCTCCCCCACCATCGCCGGTACGATTTTCCTACTATTATTAACATTATTGTGCTAGGACTGGAACCCAGGGCCTTGCGGCATGCTAGGCAAATGCTCTTCTGAGCCCCAGCCCCCAGCCTGGTCTCCCCTGTTATTAACATCTCGCATGGTACGTATGTTACAGTTGAAGTGTATGTGGATGAGCACCTGCTTCTCTGTACATTCTGAGGTTTGGAGAGGGGATGTAGTGATAGTTGAGGGAGCGCCAAAGTTATTGCTGAAGTGTCCTGAAAAGCCATCCTAAGTAACAGGAGCTGAGGATTCTTATTTTTAAGAAAGCAGATCTTGTGATTATTTAGGATATGACCAGTAAGACATGTCTTCTTTCTTTCTTTTTTTCAGTCAATCTTTTTTTCTTTTTCTTTTTTTTGGCAGTGCTGGGGTTTGAACTAAGAGCCTCACACTTGCTAGGCAGGTGCACTACCACTTGAGCCACACCTCCAGCCCTTTTGTTGTATTGGGTACTTTTTGAGATAGGGTCCCAAGAACTATTTGTCCAGGCTGGCTTTGAACCTCCTGATCTCTGGCCTGACTAGCTAGGATTATAGGCGTGAGCCGCTGGTACTTGACCCTTCTCTCCATTCTTATTACCACTGCCCTAGGTGAAGCCACCCTCATCTCTATCTTGGATGCAGGTGGTCCTACCTGGTCTCCTTCAAGTAGACTCCCTTTAGTCCTCTCGATCGGCTTTTCTCAGCAGCCCAGATTTTCTTACAGGGTGGGTTGGATGATGCCGCTTTGCTATTTCAGCCCCTTGCCCACAGGACGTGTGACAGCCAGGCCCCCACCTCTGGGTGAAGTGCCCTGGTTCAGGCCCTGCTAACCCCCCATGACTCACCTCTTGGTGGAGTGCTCAGAGTCCATGGCCTGCAACTGCTCATCTCAGGGTTCTCCCTACTCAAGTGTGAACAAGAATGGTGTTTTCCTTTTGCCTGCCTGTCTAGTCTGGCACCGATGGGGCTTGCAGGAGAGTTTCATACAAGCAGCATGTATCTTACTCTTTGATTGTCTCGCTCAGAATTTCCTTCCAAGTAACCACCTCTGTTTAATTCTGGGTATTTACTTAGAACTTACGTACTTAGAAGCGATTCGTACTTACAAAAGTGCTGCATTTTAGTAGCTTGTTCTCTAGACTGGCTGATTGGTCTGTCAACCCAGGGAAGAAAGGAGAAACTGGAGCATTGTTTAAACTGTATCTCTGGCTGCTCTTCATAGATAGAGCCCTGTGCATAGAGTAGGAGTGGCTTGACCTAGAAAAATAGCAGACAGGTTGGGTTAGGTTTTTTGTTTTTTTGTTTTTTTTTCCCCCCTTGGCAGTACTGGAGTTTGAACTCAAGGCCTTGCACTTGCCAGGTAGTTGTTCTACCACTTGAGCCTCGTCCCCAGCCCAGTTCAGCTGTTCTTTTTTTGCAGTACTGGGGCTTGAACCTAGGGCCTACACCTTGAGCCACTCTACCAGCCCTTTATTTTGTGGTAGGATTTATTGAGATAAGGTTTCATGAACTCTTTGCCTGGACTGGCTTTGAACTGTGATCCTCCTGATCTCTGACTTCCAAGTAGGTAGGATTACAGGCATGAGTCACTGGTGCCCAGATAACTGTTTTTGACAGTTGAAAACATCTTGTGGGTTAATAGTTTATAAAAGAAGAAATGGACTGAATTTTCAAAAGATATTTTTTAACCTTATGAATCAAGAAAATGCAGATTGAGGTTTCTTTTAACATTGAAATTAATAAAATGTTTGATAATTAACAGCTGTTTGATATAAGTGAAAATCAGAATTGTAAGAGTAAGGTACAGTGCCAGTGGCCGGGTAAGTTGATACATGGTTTTAGAAAACTGTGTCAGTAGGTGTTGGGTAATTACAATGTTCCTACTCTTCCACTCCCACTTTTTTGTTTATGTGGTACTGGGGTTTGAAGTCAGGGTCTCATGCTTTCTAGGAAGGTGCTCTGTGAGCCTTTCCTCCAGCTTTTTTTGCTTTAGTTATTTTTCAGATAGGGTTTTACATTTTTACCTGGGACCAGTGTCCCACACAGCAGGGATCACAGGCGTGTATCACCATGTCCAGCTTATTGATTCAGATGGGGTCTTGCTGACTTTTTGCCCAGGCTGGCCTCAAACTGCAATCCTCCTGATTTCCATCTCCCAAGTAGCTGAGATTACAGGCATGAGCCACTGTACCTGGCCTGTTTCTTCTTTTGTGATAGGGCCCTGCTATGTAAGATTCTCTTGCCTCTGCCTCTCAAGTCTTGGAATTACAGGCATGCACCACGATGCCTGGTGCAAAGTTAGTTCTAGTAGTGTAATTATATGCTTGAATAAACATGAAAAAGGAATAATTCTTTGTTATTGCTGGATTTGGTCAATCAGAAATCGCATGCCTTGGTACAGCTCAGTGTTAAGAGCACTTGGCCTAGCACATACAAGGCCCTGAGTTTGGTCCTCAGCACTGCAAAAAAAAAAAGAATGCCATTTATTGGCGGGGGCACTGTTTTTCGCTCCCTTCCTTGTTGGAGTGAGCTTTCGCTCCATGGTTATTACTGAACCTAACTGGGCTTAACTAGGAGCGACTGGAGATTCAGAAAAGACATAGGATAGACAGACAGAAAGTGGGGTCAGGTGGAGACGCACAACCTTATTGCTTCTTTTCTCTATCTTCATTTTTTAACTCCCTGCAGTTCTATAAAACCTTGCTTAAAACCTCTTTCCTGAGACTCACTCTGTCCTATGTTTTCTCTTAGCTTATCTTTAGCTTAATCGCTCTTAAAGTCTTTTGCCCTGAGGCTTGCACTGTTGCCATCTCTGTTTAGGTCTCTCAAAGCCTTGGTGCTCACACTTGCAAAGTCTTGGTCCTCTATCTTGCACTGTCCCATGTTCTCTTTGGCTTTTCTTTAGCTTCTAAAGCATGTGTTAAAGTTCTTTCTTTGGGTTAGCTTTCTAAGGCCTATGTTAAAGTTCTCGGTGCAGACTTTCTATCAACCCCTCTTTAGCCATTCTTTTCCCTTCAGCAATTTCCCTTTAGCAATTCTTTTCCCTTCAGTAATTCTTTTCCCCTCCAAAAGCTTCCCACACCAAAGAGCCAAAGGCAAAGAGTAAAAAGCCTCAAACCCTCCTTCCGTGGGCCTGTTATAAACAGCAGCAAACTGGTGGAGCTTAGGCTCCCGGTGAGGGCGTGACATTGGAACTGGAGAAACCTGGTAGGAGATGCAGCTGTTCTGCTTTTTTGGCAAGCTTAGGAGATGCAGCTGTTCTGCTTTTTTGTTTCATGGACGGGGCTGTGCCTATCTTGGCCTACAGGTAAAAGCAACTAAGTCGCATCTTGCCTTGCTTACGTCCATTTCTCATAGGCTTTTCAATCCGCTCTCCATAATTTCTCAAGGACCCTGGTAGCTTGAGGACAAGCCTTTCTCAGTAAGGGTTGTTTCTCTTTTCTTGTGCCTCTTGACTCGTGATGATAATTTTCTTCTCTTTGGTGCAGAGCCCACCAACCTTTGGGTTCCTGTTGGACATCGATGGCGTGTTAGTACGGGGTCACAAAGTGATCCCAGCTGCTCTGGAAGCATTCGGCAGGCTGGTGAACTCCCACGGGGAGCTACGGGTGCCTGTGGTTTTTGTCACAAATGCTGGGAACACCTTACAACACAGTAAAGCCCAGGAGCTGTCAGCTCTGCTGGGGTGCAAGGTAAGAGGCAGTCAGAGGCAGTGATGTCCAAGGATGGGGATCCTAATGGAACCTCTACTCCAGCTCTACGTCTCTTTTCCGGGTCTGCATATAGTGTGGATAAGCCCTAGGTCATGGCCAGCTGCGTCAGTGGAAATCTTTTAACCCTTTGGGAAGAAACTTGAAGTTTGGGTTTTTTGGTTTTATTTTTGTTTTTTTGAGAGAGGGTTTTGCTATGTAGCCCAGGCTGGCTTCAACTCATGATCCTCCTATTCAATCTTCCAAGTGGTGGGATTATAGAAGTGAACTACCATGCATGATCTAAGGGAAAAATAATTTAAAGTTCAAGCCTAGCTTTACAAGTAGACCCCTCACTTGTAGGGTCTTTTACACACACACACACACACACACACACACACACACAGAGTTGAGTGAGCACACACACACACACACACAGAGTTGAGTGTGCACAAAAATCTTCCCCTTGTTTTGGCAGTTTTAGTTTATCATCTTCATGTCCTTTTCTTCTGGGTATCAAGGTTGACTTAGAATTTTAGCCCCTGAAAGACTGGAGGTATAGTTCAAGTAGTAGAGCACCTGCTTACCAAGCATGAAACCCTGAGTTCAAACCCCAGTGCCCCAAAACAAACCCCAAAAAGTCAAAAGAATTTTAGTCCCTGGAAAGCAAGGATCACATTTGTTTAACACTGCACATCCTGGATGGGACTGTGCATTAATATCTAGTTTTTTTCATAAACAAGAGAGGTATAAAATGATGTGGTAATGCATGCCTATAATCCTAGCACTTGGGAGGCTGAGGCAGGAGATTGTGAGTTTGAGGTCAGCCTGGGCTACAAGTGAGTTGAAGGACAGCCTGGGCTATCTAGGGAGACTTTGTCTCAAAAACAAGCCAGGTGCTGGTGACTCACCCCTGTAATCTTAGCTACCCAGGAGGCAGAGGTCAGGAGGATCATAGTTTGAAGCCAGCCTGAGCAAATAGTTCATGAAACCCTATCTTGAAAAAAAAAAAAGCATCATAAAAAAAGGGCTGGTGGAGTGGCTCAAGGTGTAGGCTTTGAGTTCAAGCCCTAATACTGCAAAACAAAACAAAAAAACAAAACAAAACCAGGGGACCCAGTAAGAGCTATTGGAGCCAGTACCTCTGTAAACCAAGGTTTCAGGTAAAAACATTTGCATAACCATATGTGTTTCTGTACATTAATAATAAACAACACAAATGTGAAATCAAGAAAGCAAGTACTTTATAACACTACCAAGAAACCTAGCATGTAAGAGTCCTTGGGTTTTATCCAACACTGCTAAACAAACGAGTGAGAGAGGGTATGTTGGGGGAACTAAAGTACTTAGGAATAAATTTAACACAGGAAGCATCAGGTCTGTACCCTGAGTGAAAACTACAATCACTGTTGAAAGCAAGTGAAGAAATTCCCAACTATGAATTTCCTTCATGGTTGAAAGTAAATGAGAAGCTATCACATGTTCATGGATTGGAAGTCTGCGTGTTAAGATAGCAACACTCTCCAGTTGGTCTGCAGATTCAATGCAATTCCTATTACAACCCCAGCTGACGGTTTTGCAGAAAGTGACAAATGGTTCCTAAATTCATATTCAAAAATAGCCAGTTTTGAGCAGGGCACTGGTGGCTCACACCTGTGACCTTAGCTACTTGGGAGGCTGAGATCAGGAGGATTTCAGTTTGAGCCCAGTCGGGGCAAGTAGTTCTTAAGACCCATCTCCAAAATAACCACAGCAAATAAGTGTGAATCCCTGGGTTCAAACTGTAGTCTTACCAGAAAAAAGCAAAAAAGAAAAAAAAAGCCAATTTTGAAAAGGATAAAGTTGGTAGACTCACAGTCTTAATTTCAAACTTTTTACACGGCCATCAATATCAAGACACTGTGGTACTGGCAGAGAATAAGCAGGTAGATCAATGAATAGAAACGATAGCCCAAAACTAAAGCCTAGTATTTATGGTTAATTACTCTGTGACTAAGGGGCCAAGACCAGGGGAAAGAACAGACTTTTCACCAAATGGCGCTGGGACAACTGCATATCTGCTGGAGAAAGCATGGATTTGGGCCCCGCCTGAACTAACACACTAAAGAGTTACTTTTTTTTTCTGGTGCTGGGGATGAACCCAGAGCCTCCTCCTGCATGCTAGGCAAGTGCTGTACTACCAAGCTGGAGCCCCAGCCCGATGGTGAGCATTTGTATATCTTTATATTCTTTGGAGATACATCTAGCCAAGGCTTTTGTTCTTTTCTTTCTTTGCTGGGTCTGGAGTTTGAACTTGGCTTCATGCTCTACTGCTTGAGCAGGTGCTCCATCACTTGAGCAGTACCTTCAGTCCTATTTAAGTCGTTTGACATGAGATGATACTTCACATCCACTAGGATTGCAAGAATAAAGAAGACACCAGTTGTTAGGGAGGATGGGATAGGCCTAAATTAAGAGCTAAATCTACAAAACTCTTTAAAAAGAGAACACAAGAATAAGTCTTCGTTACCTTGGGTTAGGCTGTGATTTCTTAGACATGACACAAAAAGCACAAGCGATAAAAGAAAATAAATGGATTTCACGAAAATTAGAAAATTTTGGGCTTCAAAAGATATCAGTAAGAGCTGCTACAGTAGATTACTTCTGTAATTTCAGCTGCTTGGGAGATGGAATTGGGAGGACTGAAGTTTGAGGTCAGCCTGGGCAAAAAGTTACCGAGACCTCATCTCAACAAATAAGCTGGGCATGGTGGTATGTACCTGTCATCCCATCTACATGGGAAGGATAGGTAGGGGGACATCTGTCTAAGGCCAGCCCTGGGTAAAAATGAGACCCTGCCTAAAAAAAAGAAAAAAAAAAAAACCCAACTAAAGAAAGAGCTTGTGGTTCAAGTTGTAGATCACCTCCTTAGCAAAACAAACTGGGTATAATGGCACATGCATGTAATCCCAGCACTCAGGAGGGAGGAAGGAAGGAAAGTTGTGTCTTTAAGTAGAACTGAAAACAAAAAGTCAAGGTCCAAGGCAAATATCTATGACAGAACATAAATGCAAAGCCTGTGGTTCCCAAGTGGAGACTGGGAAACTCAAAGAGGTCTTAGCTGAGCCCAACAGGACTGGTGGGCAGTCAGACTGTGTCTGATGACATTTCTTGACAAGAATCAAACTAGGAAGCTTCTCATTCTTATTTGGATAAGTTTTAGAGTGTCAGATGCTGGAAAGGGTTTCCCCCTTCATTTTCTGGATGTTTGGTTTTTTTTTTTCCTTTTCTCCGCCTTTCTCTCCATTATCTTCTATCAACTGTGTGTCTTCCTCCTCCAGGTGGATCCAGACCAAGTCATTCTCTCTCACAGCCCCATGAAGCTCTTCTCCCAGCACCATGACAAGCGGATGCTAGTGTCAGGGCAGGGGCCCATGGTGGAGAATGCCCGAGCGTATCCTTTTGTCTTCTTGCTATGGTTGGAGAGGAAGGGGCAGGACTACGACTTCTCCCTTGGCCATGCGGGAACCAGAGTAGGGAGTGCTGTGGCCCATGGTGAGCTCTTGGGGAATGAGGACAGCTCCTGCATGTGGTCAGTCCTTGCACCTGGTGGTTCCTGAAGGCTAGTCACATGCTGCTGCATCAGTCTTATGCTGAGCTCAGAGTCCTGGGCCTTCCTCTTGGGGAGTCTTGATTCACTAGATCTAGGATAAGAGTTAAGAATCTGCATTTAAACAAACAAACAGCTCTCCCAGGTGATTCTGTAATTGGGTTTGGAAGCACACAGCTCCAGACGCCTCCTTGGGTGCTCTGCTGGCTTCTCAGCACCTCCTGTTAGTGAAAAGTGAGCTCCTCCTTTTGGACATGCATGTACTTAGGAAGCAGAGCTCCCTGTTCTAGGCAGCTTGTTCATTTGTGCTTGTTCAGTTGTGTGTTTCCTGGGCGCCATGCTGGGCTGTGTACTCGGAAGCAGGCGGGGGACCAAGTAAGAGCATTTGGATTTTGGCCCAATCAAGGCGTCCATACTTGAGAAGGCAAGAATAACACACCCATGAACAGTAAAGGATAGTTAAGATAGCATATGAAAGGCTGGAGGCAGCTCAGTAGTAATACTTACCTAGCACATTTGAGGCCTTGGTTTGGATCTCTAGCACCTCAAAGAAGAAGAAAAAGTTAGCATATGAGTGAAGGCTACAAAGAATGAGATAGGTTCTAAGTTTCATGGGTGTCGAGGGAAAGAGATTCTCCCTGGGGTAGGAGTGGCCTGTGGCTTCATGGAGAATTTGTACCCCAGGAGGTAGTTAAGGCAAGAGAGGTAGAAGGTCAGGACTGGATAGGGTGAAGAATTAGAGAACAGAAGAGTGGACTTAGGTGGGAACCTTGGAGCAAACTCGGGGCAGTAGGGCATCATTGTTACTGGGGGATTGGATGGGGAAGTTCATTTTGGGCATCACCCAAAACCATGTCCAGTTAAGATTGCAGGTTGGAATTGGGGACAGAAAAATGGAGGCAGGTCTTAGAGGAGAAAAGGCTGGAGCTGGCTTAACTTTCCACATGGCCTTCCATTCTTTGCTGAATTGGGCTTGACCATCAAGGGTTTAGCTCCTGTCTAAACCCTTTGTGACTGCCAGGCTGCCCAGCACTGAGGCAGAGCTGTTAGTGGCCACACTGTTGATGGATGGGCTCTGAGCATGGTGTAAGCTCCTGGAGGACACCCTGGGTTGTGCCTGGCATAGGACCTGGCACATGGAATGTGTCCACTGCTGAGGGTTACTCTCGCATGGCTTTTGTCCACTCTGCCTATGCAGTCACAACCTGCCTACTGGCCCCTGCAGTATCTGGGTCCGGTTTCCCTCGCTTGTAATCTAATGCTTTAGAAATGCATCTTCCTTCAGAACTGTGGAGTTTTACTTCCCTGATCTTGCTCCAGACTGGGCTTCCGAGACGTGGTTACAGTGGATGAGCTGCGAATGGCCTTCCCAGTGCTGGACATGGTGGATCTCGAGCGGCGGCCAAAGACCACGGTAATGAGGAGTACAGGATGAGCAACGCTCTTGGGCTATGTGCAGCTCTGACCTCCTGTTCCCTGATAAGAGTGCACTGTGTCTGTGCTTCTGTAGTGTGGTCTCTTTGGAGAGGGACATCTGGGCAAGGATTATGTTCTTGGATAAATGTGAGTAGCCCAGAGAAGCAGCGACTACAAGTCCTTGCTTTTCTGCATTGTTTTTAGTTAGCTTGGAACTCCTTTCAGAGCCACAGCATCTCTTCCAATGATTAGTTATGTATTTACCAGCTGACTTTCCCAGTGTTGCACAGGGAGCATTAACTTTGTTTAATACTCACTGCTGCTCCTGAAGCATGGGCCACAGAGTTGCCCTCTTGAGAAGCAGCTGCTTGTAAAGAATGCTGGAGGTTTTGCATGTCTTCCCACATGCCTTTTGGGTTTAGCTCAAATTTGAAACCTCGTCTTGATTTCTTTTTGCAGTTCTGAGGATGGAACCTGGGCCTTGTCCATGTTAGGCAGGCACTCTGCCTCTGAGCTGCACCCAGCCCGTGATGTCTTTAACTCTCATGATCAGCAGCTCCAGGCCTCTCACTGTTCCTCTAGAGTGTGATTGCCCACATCTCCTGAGGTCTCTGTTGGCGCATTGCTTCTAGATATCACATAACTTAAGTTTTAAGTTAGGCAATCCTCCGAATTTGACGAAATATAGTTATAAACAAGTAGACTTGCTTTCATTTATGTACATAGCATGTCCTTTCACGTCCTCTCTTTTGAGAGCTTTCTTTTTGAATGATGCAAAGTCTGTGGAGAACCAGCAAACAGAGTGGGAACAGATCTTAGAATAGCTCAGCACCCCATGCAGAGGAAGTGACCCACCCCAGGTTACGTAGCCATTTGGTGGTAGGGCCAAGACTAAAGAATGGACCCTAAGAGGCTGGTTAAGTGCAGGCTCCTTCTTCACAAACTGATGTCAAGACAAAGGATCCATCATACCCTGAGCTCTTTTCTCTCTATAGGCCACCTGCATCTTTAGCTACCTGATTCTAGAGGCTCTTGCTTTCTGGTATCTTGCTTCCTATCCTGCTTTGCTTGTGGTATCCCTCAGCCTGTGCTGGCACCAACCTGGTCACTGTCTTTTCTCCTTTCTTTATGAATCATCTTCTTCAGCCCTGTCCAGCTTCTTGGCTTGGGTTGCTCAGTGAGCATGGTCTCTGACCCACCCACCTCTAGAGACTGGATGCTCCTGGAGTGGAAAGTGACTGTGGCATTGATGGGCCTCTTCTTTGTCTTTTGGCAGCCCCTTCTGAGGAGTGACTTCCCAGCTATTGAAGGTAAAAGAGATGCTGCTCATGTGTGGGTGCTTTCAGGCCTCAGGCTGTTTTAGTGTGACTGTTTGCCTAAAGGCTGCTAAAGTGACAAGGTGGCATTGTGCAAGACACGTGGGTTCTTGCCCCAGATCTTCACTCACTACCTCTGAGAAACTTGGTAATTTTTCTTTCCCCACATCACTCACCTTGTTATACAGAAAAATTGTAACCTTAGAGACTCTTGCAGTGGAAAGGTATTGAGAGGCAATCTAGTCCAGTGCTTCTCAATTCTCCCCTTGTACAACAAAAATATTGTAACATCCCTTTATATCCTGAGATGAAATGTGACCTTCCCATGTACATACATCAAAAAGTAATTAGTGCCAGGCATTGGTGGCTCATGCCTGTAATCCTAGCTACTCAGGACGCAAAGATCAGGAGGATCGCAGTTTGAAGCCAGCCTGGGCAAATCGTTCTGAGACCCTATCTTGAAAAAAACCTATCAGAAAAATGGGCTGGTGGAGTGGCCCAAGGTATAGGACCTGAGTTCAAACCCCAGCACCACAAAAAAAAAAAAAAGTAATAGTGCAGTGTAAAGCCCTAATGCAATGGGGGAAATAAAATGAAAATATTTCAGTAAGAGGATTATGTTCTACACAAGTTCAGGAGGTGGAGGTGGCTCCCGTTTATTTTTATTTTGTCTTCTCTTTTTTTGGTGTTGGGATCGAACCCAGGGCCTCACGCATGCTAGGCAAGCGCTGTACCACCGAGCTACATCCCAGCCCCAGTAAGAGGATTATGATGTGTTCCAAAACATAATAATTACCTGAGAAGTGAAATGATTGTCCTAAGGACAGAATCACAGACTGACTGTGTTCATAGGTATGATACAGGTGTGTGTCATTGGGGCAGTGTTGCCACTTGTGAAGTGTTTTCCAAAATAGAGAACAACTTGGTGAAGTTTTAAGAAAAGGTAGTATTCTCTTCACTTACGTGCTCATTGTATTTTTGGAAAAACTCAGTGTTTATTAAGACTGTGTAAAAATGCTTTGTTATTGTATATAAAATGGAATTGGCTCAAATAATTATGAATAGGTGTTCACCTACATGACTATCAGAAGAGACATTCGAATGCTGTAGTAGAGCACCTCCCTAGCAAGCATGAGGCCCTGAGTTCAAACCCCAGTACCAATGGAAAAAAAAAAAAAAAAGAACAAATGCTGTTAGGATGGGGGATTTTTTGATTGTTCAAGACTGTCCTTATCTGCCCAGTGTGTCTGTGGTTCTGGGGGTGGACCCCAGGACCTCACTCATGTTAGGCAACCCCCATGTCCTCATCTTCCAGTTTCTAAAGCACCTCCCACAGCTCACTGGTCTTGGAGCTGACACTGGCAGCTGCTGTTTGCTAAGTGCTTACTGTGTCCGGCCCTGAGTTAGGTGCTTCCCATATCTTATCCTTACAATACTATAAGTAGGTGTTGCTATTATGTAGCTGAGGAAACTGAGTCTTTCAGGTAAGTCACCACAGTCTTGCAGGAAACTTGGCAGAGTCAGGATTAGAATTCGATGCTCTCTTAGTCTAAGCCCCTGCTTAGACATTAGGCTGTATTGGCTGCTGGGGCCAGAGACCAGATCGAAGGAGGGAGAGCCCCCTGCAGAGCATATGTGGAGCAAGGAGCTGTGGGGAGAGCCCCATCAACAGGAGGAAGCAGCCTGAGACTTGCCACTTTCATTTTTTTGGCTTTTCTGTGATGCACCAGTGGACACAAGTTAAGATGGAGCCCGTAGGGCACTCCTTGCTAGGCCCTAGGCTCTGTTTACCTAGGGTATACTGGCAAGTGGCTTGGCCAGGACTGGCTCAGGGAATAACACCCTTGCCCAGGTGCATGGACCATGATGAGCTCTGGGTGGATGGTACCACTTGGCCTCACTGCCTCCTGAGGCTTCCACCTGCCTACCTCCCAAAGGGCAGACTCAGTATCCTGCATAACTCACACATGTGCCTTTGCTCTTTAAGGGGTGCTCCTCCTTGGGGAGCCTGTCCGCTGGGAGACAAGCCTGCAGCTGATCATGGATGTCCTCCTCAGCAATGGGAAACCTGGGGCTGGCCTGGCAATGGCCCCCTATCCCCACCTTCCTGTCCTGGCCAGCAACATGGATCTCCTTTGGATGGCTGAAGCCAAGATGCCCAGGTAGGACTTAGGCTCCTGGTTTTGACTCTGGTGGCCCACTTCCAGCTGCTGCCTTGGTAGCCCTGAAGACAGCTTGCTACCTGACATTCTGGGTGATTGGAACCCATCTAGCTGGGCTATGTAGCTGCCACAGTAACTTGGCCTCTGGGAGGACTTTCAAAGGTCACACCACATGTTAATTATTAAACTAAAACTACCAATTATTGAGTATGAAGATGTATGGAGATTTTTTTTTTTTTTGGTGGGACTGGGGTTTGAACTTAGGGCTTCACACTTACAAAGAAGGAACTCTACTGCTTAAGCCTTACCTTCTGTCCATTTTGCCTGGATATTCACAAGGGATCTTAACTCTTCGCCCAGACTGACCTTGAACCTCGATCCTCCTGATCTCAGCCTCCCAAGTGGCTAGGATTACAGGTATGAGTCTCCTGTGCCCAGCTTGGAGATGATTTTTAATATATGTCTCCTGCCCTCATAATCTAAATAGAGATGCTCTTGTCTAGTGGAACCCAAATGTACAGTTTTTGAGGTATATCAATGCAAATTATTTACCACCTCTTCCTTCCTGGCCTCCAGCCTATTGTACTGGTTCTTTTACTTCCTTGTTTGCTCTTATCCTTGAGATGCAGGGGCAGGGAAAGCCAGAACTATTTAGTGGCATATACCTGAGAACTGAAACCCAGTGGATAAGGCACACAGGCACTGAGCAAGTCCACACTCCCTGCTCAGCTATGAGGATGACTGTCCTTTTCTGGCTGATGGGTAGCTCTTTTCTATCCCTTTGGCCCTTGTCTACTGCAAGGCCAGCAGACAGCTGCTTTGTGCTGTTTGGCTGCTTTTATCTGTGACGTCAAAGTCTTGGGTCATCTCATCCTGCATTGCCTCCTAACGGACTCTGTGAGTGTTTGGGTCAACAGCGGAGGGGGGCGGGGAGGTCAGGGGCCAAGACCCCCACAAGTCAAATGGTGGCTTATGGCTATTATCCTAGCTACTCAGGAAACAGAGATCAGGAGGATCATAATTTGAAGTCAGAAAATAGTTTGTGAGACCCTATCTAGAAAAAACCCATCACAAAAGGGCTGGTAGAGTGGCTCAAGGTATAGGTCCTGAGTTCAAACTCTAGTACCCCCTGCCAAAAAAAAAACATTTTAAAGTGTATTTCTGTAGCTTGATAGTTTATCTAAAATATTCCTAGAGTTTAGGGTATGCTGACACCAGATGTAGGGGTTTGGTTATGTAACTGAATAGCCAGGAGAAAATATCAGTGCATAAGCCAGATTTGAGATTAATTTTTCACTCAATAACTTAAAAATTGAAAATAGATTTCTTGATATAAATAAGCAACAGTGAAGTGTAACTAATATGTAGCATAGTATTAATTAGAATTTGGCTTAGCAGCCAGGGATGAAAACCCAAAACACAGTGTCTTTAACAAGGCAGGCATGGTAGTACATGCCTGTATTCCCAGATATTTGGGGGGTGGAATAGGAGGACTGTAGTCCAAGGCCAACCCTGGCAAAAGCATGATACCCCATTTGACAAAATAACTAAAAGTAAAGGATTTAGGCTATGGCTCAAGTGTTAGAGCACTTGGGTAAAAGAAGTTGGGTTGCTGGGCGGGCGGAATGACCCAAGTGGTAAGAGCACTTGTCTAGCAAGTGTGAAATCTTGAGTTTAAACCCCTCAGTGCCACCAAAAAAAAAAAAAAAAAAGTTGTGTTGGCAGTCAAGGGCTTGTATGGAGGCTGTTTGTTAGGGACATAGGCACCTTTTGACTTCTTGCTGCATAATCCTTAGTCTTTCACTACATAATCCAAAGTGGCTGCTAGAACACCAGTCATCACTTTAGGTGGCATTTTAGTAGTAGAGGAGTATTAGTAAGCTTGCATCACTGACAAAATACCTGAGGTAAGCAATTTAAAAGGAGAAAGATTTTTTTATTTTGGCTCAGTTTCAGTGCATGGTAGGCTGGCTGTATTTCTTTTGAGCTTGTAGTGAAGCACACTGTGGAGCAGAACTGCTCACTTCATGGCACCTGGGAAGCTGAGAGCCAGACAGGAAGTGGTGAGGCTCCCAATAGCCTCTTCAAGGACACACCCTCCTACTAGGCCCCATCTCTTAAAGGTTCCAACACCTCCCAGTGACACATGAGCCTTCTACACATGAGCTTCAGGAGGACATTTAAGATCCAAACCATAACAGGGGCAGAGAAGAACACCCCTTCCCCAATTTTTTTAAAATTTAAATTTTGATTATTTTTTATTGTTGTGCTGGGGGGGTACATTGTAATTTTTTTTTCTTGACAGTACTAGGATTTGAACTCAGGGTCTCATGCTTGCTAGGCAGGTGCCCTACCATTTTAGCTATTCCACCAATCCTTTTTTGGGGTGGTATTTTTGAGCCATGTCTTGTGAACTACATATCAGGAATATATGTTCCGCTTCGAACCATGAGTCTCCTGATCTCTGCCTCCTGGATTATAGGCATGAGCCACTGGCACCTGTTCCCCTTCCCCAAATTCTAAGGACACTTAGTAAAAGTTAAACTCAGTTCCTCTCCTTAGTTGCATGGCCACAGCTAGCTGCAAGGGAGGCAGGGAATATACTCTGTACATTTAGGGCAATAGGCTTGGCTGAAAATTGATGCTAGCAAAGAGGGGAAGGATGTCAGCCAGCAGCCTGCCCCAAATCTGGAGTAGATTTAAGTTTAGGTTTCTTCAGTCATACCACCTGGGTTATAATCTTAGCTCTACTACTAGGGCAAGTTGTCTCACTAGGCCTCAGTTTCCTCATGTGTAAAATGAGGATAAAAGCATCTGCCGTGTAGGGTTTCTCAGAAGGTTAAATGTTACATGCTGTCCCAATGCTAGGAGAGTATGCATTAAGTGGTTGCTTTTACTAAAAGTGATTTAATGGTGGCCCATTGCCTCATGGGTCTGGAGTACAAGGTAGGGATACACAGGACTGCTTAGAGGATGGCAGAAGGTCTAGAAGGCTAGGCTGCTGAGTGCTTTTCTTGGGCAGGTTTGGCCATGGCACTTTCCTGCTGTGCCTGGAAACCATCTACCGGAAACTGACGGGCAAGGAGCTGAGGTACGAGGGCCTGATGGGCAAACCCAGCATCCTCACTTACCAGTATGCAGAGGACCTGATCAGGCAACAGGCGGAGCGGCGGGGCTGGGCTGCCCCCATCCGGAAGCTCTATGCTGTAGGGTAAGTCCTGCTGCATCTCATCCCTTTCACAGCTTCCCTTCCTTATCTGCCCCCACTGCCCTTGTTTCTCTATCGCTAAGACACTTCTCCCCCCCAAACTGATCTCCCTTCTCTTTGTCTTGTGACACTGAACTTGGGTTTTCTCCTCTTTCCTTTCCCGGTATGCCCCTTCCAGTGATAACCCCATGTCTGACGTCTATGGTGCCAACCTGTTCCACCAGTACCTGCAGATGGCGAAATGTGGCAAGGCAGAGGAGCAAGAGGCTGTGGGCCTGTGGAAGCAGCGACCCTCAGCAACCCAGAGCTGCACCTCCATCCTGGTGTGCACTGGTGTGTACAGTTCCCAGGTCCTGGGGTCCACACAGCCTTCCCTGGGAGGAGCAGAGCCTCCATTCCATGGGCACCGGGACTTCAGCTTCAGTCCAGAGCTCATGCAGGCGTCCCACATTGTGAACGATGTGAACGAGGCTGTGCAGCTGGTTTTCCTCCAGGAGGGTTGGGCTGGATAGTGAGGGGCTGCATTGGAGGCAAGGGGCCTGAGGAAGCCTGGGCCACAGAGAAATCCTATCTGCTGGGCCCTGGCCTAGGTCATGTGTCAAGTCACGTCTGGTTCCCTTGCCACTCTCTTCCTGGGATGTACTGGTCAAGAGGACAGTGGCGTATTTTTTTCCTGCTGGGCGTAGCCACAGAAATATCCCTTGGGCAGCATTTCATGTGGAGCTGCTGGAATTTCTGGGCAAAATTGCTATGTGCCTTGCCCTGCAGTCTGAATTCATGCCAGTCCCTTTACCTCTGTGCCTCAGTTTTCTCCTCCTCGCAGCAGGGACTTCTAAACAAAGGGGAGGCAGTATGGAATAATGTGGAAGCTTCTGCAGAGCCTTTGCTCAATGAAGTAACCACTGCATGTAAGCAAGGTGTGTAACGCTTACATGCTAGTTTTTACTGTATTTTAGTTTATTACCCAGAGACTTTGGGCTTATTTTTTTAAATTAAAATCATCCTAATAAATATTCGTTGTGCTATCTCTTGTGAAGCTGTCTGGAATGTAATAAAGTCCCATGGGGAGCAGACAGTGGGTGAGTGGTACCCATGGGTAATCTCTCTGGAGGCATTTCACTTCATAAGGTGTGGGGTGTCCAACCACTGTCTTTCTGCCCCTGCCCTGAACCCACACCCAGCCTGGGCTGCTGACTTTACCTGAGCATAACTATCCAAAACCCAGTGCACCTGAGCTGACTCTTCTAGTACTCCGAGCATAACCCATTCTCTCCTGTAGTCTTCCCTGGGCATCTCCTCATTGTCCCCAGTGACATCACACTGCTCTTGTCTTGTCCCCCATATAAACTTTGCCTTCAGAACTCATCCAGCATGGGAGCACTTTGCACCCACAAGTCACCCGCCTGCCTGGCCCTAGCATGTCCTACTTGTATCATTGTGGTCCTCTCTGACCTGCCCTTCCTGTCCTGTCTGGTCCCTCTCCCTCCCACTGTTCTCTATTCCTTGGCCTATACGTCAGTCCAAATATAAGTTGATGTATTTGGCGGTTAAACCCTCCTGGACTTCCTGTCTCACTGAGTAAAAGCCAAAAGTTTCTCACCACCTGCCAACTTCCCATCCTGTCATCCTACCACCTTCTGAACTCGCTTGCTGTTTCCCTCTGTCATTGTCAGTTTATGCCCACCCACCAGCACCCTCTGCTGTTCCAAACACACTCCTGCCTTGGGGCCTCTGTGCCTGCGGTTTCCTTCCACACTTGCCTTGTTCCATCCCTTTCTGTTTTTCCATTACTTCATTTTTTTTGTTGTTTTTGGGCTGTTTTTGTGGTGGTACCTGAGTATGAACTCAAGACCTTGTGCTTGTTAGGCAGGCACTCTACCACTTGAGCCATGCCTGGGGCCAAAAAAAGTGATTGGTCCTCCTACCAATCCCTTCCACATAGCTGGGTGGGGTTACAGGCATGTACCATCATGAGTAGCAAGTTTGGTGAAATGGGATTCACTTAACTTTTTTGCCTGAGTTTACCTTGAACCGTAATCCTCCCAATCTCTGCCTCAGTAGCTGGCATTACAGATGTGAGCCACCTCGCATAACTTCCTAAAGATCTGGTGGGCAGGTGATCTCATTGACTTATATGACTTCCTCTAAAAACAGCCCCTTCTATCTCCCTCTGCTTAACTTTTTCAAAGTTCTTACCACTTGACATACATACATACATATTTATTTTGTGTCCTTTTTGTGTCCTTTTTACTAAAATAGAAGCTTCGTGGTTCTGTCCATGTGGACTCGTGGCCACACTCCTGTGTGTGGCACTTAGCCAGATTCAGTAGATGTGTATGGAGTAGATGGCCCCTGGTGGCCTGCAAGTCGTCCTATAGTTTCCTTACTGACAAACATGCTTGTCTTTTCTTCTTTTCACTTGGGGAGTTTGCAGGCCTGAAATGGAAGCCCAGCTCTGCTACTCACTACCTGTGTGACCTCGTACAATTTCCCTCACTTCTTCAAGCTTCTGTTTTCGGTTACAGCTTGGATCTGGAGTGTCCTCCATCGTCCTGTGTATTAAAGGCTTGACTGCCAGTCTGAGGTGCTACTGGGAGGTGAGATGGGAACCTTCAGAAATTGGGCTCTAGTGGGAGGAAGTTAGGTCATGTGAGTGTGCCCTTAAAGGGGATATGATGACCCTGCCCTTCCTCTCTCTCCTTGCTGTTTGGCCACCACGGGGTGAACAGGTTTCTTCTGCCACATGCTTCCTCCGTGATGTGTTGCCTCATCATAGGCCCAAAGCAATAGGGCCAAATATCCATGGAGTGAAAATGTGAGCCAAAGTAAACCTTTCCTCCTCCTAAGCTCCTAACCCCCAGTATTTTGTTACAGCAATGGAAAACTGACTGACACAGTACAAGTCTGCTGTGAAGTCTCATGTGCATTCCTAGGAGGGAGGAATGGACAAAAAGCACAGCACATAGAGCTGATTTCCTCTGAAGAACTTTCCAGAAGTCTCTCCAGGACTGTCAGTTCTGTTTGGTGGGCTGCAATGTAGCCACCCAGGCACCACTAGGTGAGGAGGTGGGGACATGGTGCAGTGCTGCTCAGACCAAATTTAGGTTCTGGAGCTGGGACAGGGCTCAAATGGTAGAGTAAGCTCAAGGCCCTGAGTTCAAACCTCAGTACTGCCAAAAAAACCCCAAATTTTGGACAGGCACCAAGCAGTACCAACTATAGTGCCTGTACCCAGAAGGCAGTGAACACTGAATTGTGATTAGTATTATTGTAGTGTGTGTGCGTGTTGCTTGGAGTAGAAGCCAGGGCCACACAAAAGCTAGACAGGTGCTCTGCCACTGAGCCACACCCCTAGTCCCTGCTGTGATTCTCAGGGCCTCACAGTTGCTAGGCAAGCACCTCTATCACTTGAGCCACTCCACCAATCCTGTTTTTTGTGTTGAGTATTTTTCAGGCAGGGTCTTGAGAAATATTTGCCCAGGCTGGCTTCAAACCGTGATCCTCCTGATCTCTGCCTCCTGAGTAGCTAGGATTACAGGTGTGAAACACTGGCATCTGGCTGCTGCTGCTGCTGCTGCTGCTGGGTTTTTTTTTTTTTTTTTTTTTTGAGACAGTCTCACTATGTAATCCAGCCTGGCCTTGAATTCTTTTTTTTTATTTTATTTCCTTTATTCATATGTGCATACAGTGATCGGGTCATTACTCTCCCCTTCCCTGGCCTTGAATTCTTAATGCTTCTGCTTCAGCCTCTTGAGTGCTGGGATTACAGACATGCACCACCTTGTCCAGCCTGCAATATTTCTTAAAGTTCTTTGAGGACCTGTGTCACGTACTGGCCTGTGAAGCACCTAACAGTTGTTTGAGCTGCTAGCTGGGTCAGTTTTGGTAGCTGATATTGACACAGCAGTTATCATTTTTCAAAGCATTTAAAAACAAGTATCGATTGTTCAGACTTTGTTGGAGCCCTCCAAGTCCTTGGTAGAGAGATGCAATTCATACCTATTCCATTCTTTGAAATGAGGCACCAAGGCAAGGGCCATTCATTCATTCATTTCAAAAACACTGAAGGCCTACCAGCTGACAAACAGCACCCTGAGTGGTGACCAATGTCACAGGGCCTAGAGGTGGTCTCCTCTAGTGGTCTAACTCAGTGGAAAGCCCCCCTCTCCTTGCCCTGCCCCCAACCACCATCCTCATTCAAGCATCACTTGGAGCAGCTCCTGATGTATGTGCAGCTGGGCCAGCGCTCTTTGGGCCGAGATGCCCAGCTTACCACCAAGAATGCAGCTGAGAGTGGGAGGGTGCAGAAAACAGCCAGGTGTGACCATGTGGAGTGGGAGGGGCAAGACTCTTCACTCAGATGGAAGTGACAGGAAGACAGCATCTCTCTGCCTGCTCCCTCTGGCTCGGTCCCCTTGGCTGCCTGTGGCTCTGTGGCCATTTCTTCCCCTCTTTTACTTGTTGGGCTTCCTAAAGATACCATGAGCTATCCAGGCTCAGTGGACACTTCTAATGCATCTGTAGGACAGGGCAGGGATGTCATCAGCTCCAGTTTCGGTCCGGCTCTGAGGGGCTCAGCCTAAACTCATACCCAACTGCCTTCATTTGCTCAATCCTTAACTGAGTGAAAATGGGACATTTTTGTGTCACTACTTGGGAGGTAGAGATTGGAAGAACTGAAGTTTGAGGTCAGCCAGGGCAAAAAGCTTAGTGAGACCCCATCTCAACCAAAAAGCCTAATATGATGATGTGTGACTATAATCCAAACTATGCAGGAGGTATAGGTAGGAGGGCAAAAATGTGAGACTCCATACAAAAAATAAAGCAAAAAAGGGTTAGGGGTGTGGCCTAAGTGCTAGAGTACCTGCTGGCTAAAGGCCTTGAGATCAAACCCCAGTATTGTTAAAAAGGTATGGGTTTTTTTTGTTTTGTTTTTTAATTTTGAAGTGCTGGGGATAGAACCCAGGGCCTCACACATGGTAAGCACTGAGTCCATATACATTTTTATATTTTATTTCTTGAGGTGGGGGGGGTCTCACTATGTTACCCAGGTTGGTCTCGAACTCCTGGACTCAAGTGATCTTTCTTCAGCCACATGCCCAGTGAGTACGTATTTTTAACAAAATATTAACCTGGGACAAAACTACCATTGAATGTTCATGGCGAACAGATTTTGTGATCATGTTGGATCTCAAAGTCATTACCTAGGTGGTCGTTGGTGGCAGACCTCCTGGCCTCCCAAAGACACTTTGTGCCTCCTTTGGGTTGCTTGAGACAGGGGCACTGGCATGCTGGTTAGCGGGCCACTCTTACAGAGCTGGGGTTGCTGTAGCAACCGGAGGCTGCCTTGAGGGCGGAATTTTAAAATATCTCAGCTATAATAGTTTTGTTTTGTTTCTTTTGGAACTTGTGCTCTGTCACTTCCCAGTGCTTCCTCCTGCTGCTGAGGTGGGCTATGCTGGGAGATAGTTTCTCTGCCTGGGGCTCTTGGCATCTTCTGGGGATGATGTGTGCTGTGTGCAGGTGTGAACTGCTGGGAAACTGACAGAGCCTCAGCTTTCTGCTTCCCGCTTAGCTCTTGGTTCCAAAGCCTGTGTCATTTTCTCTTGAAACTTCCTCCCCACCTCCTCCCACTCTCACTTAAGCCTTCTGCTTTCCAGTCCTTCCTGAGCAGAGCAGCCGAAGCTGTCCTGGATTGCTCTCTGGAGAGGGGCAGGGCATGTTCCTTCCTGTCTGCTACTTCCAGCTTCCTTTTTTTGGCTCCATTTCTTCACGCAACAAATGACTGTTGAGTATTTGCTAAGCCCCAGGATAAAAAAACTGCCTTTGTCTTGGAGGAGTTCATCACTGTCCTGATCCTGAACTTGCCTTTGCAACTGTAACTCTATAAAGTTATAGTTCCTTAGGACCAGTGGAGTGGCTCAAGAGTGCCTGCCTGGCAAGCATGAAGCCCTGGGTTCAAACCCCAGTGCCACCAAAAAAAAAAAAAAAAAAAAGGAAAAAGACAGTTAACTAAGACAGAGGGGACAAGAGGACACCTATAAATAGGCCATAAATACATGAAAATGTGGCTTAATATATTATAATGATGATGATTGCAGTGCTGGGATAGAACCAGGGCCTCACAAATGCTAGGCAAGTGCTCTGTCCCTGAGTCACATCCCCAGCCTAACATAAATACTTATTTCTTGCTCACTTCAATGTGGCATGGGTCAGGTGGCTATTGGCCTTTCCTCTTCAAGTGGTGACTCAGGGACAGCCTCCAGCATCTCATTTTTGAGCTTTTTATCTATGTTTTAGCCGAGTCAGGCAGTTATAACAGAATACCATAAACTAGTTGGCTTATAAAAACA